TTTGGTGCATTGCATATTCAAATATTCATACAGCAAAATATACTGAAGGCTATGAAATTTTAGTGAAAATCATCTGGAAATCGCTGGCGGTGGCTGGCAACTTTTTTCAAAAATGCTGGCGGGGAAAGAGTTAAGGTGTTTACATGTCTATTCTGCACTTCAGTAATGCGACTAAAATAGGAATACTCCACATGTCTTAATTTGATTTCTGTTTACTTCGATTATGACTTTAGCCGGATTAAAGTAATCAAAAATCTTTGTTTACATGGCAGATTCTTAATCAGAGTATTGTCATAATTGTATTAAAATCGGAGTATTGTTGTCCATGTAAACGTACTCATTATCTTGCAATTTGTACAAATTAATGCATGTGAATAATAGTCCTAGTCATAACCAGCAAGTCATTGTGAGTTGCAGTAATAGCAATTATACAATTCACATTGTTCAATATTTTAGTGATTTAAGCGCTTTTATATCTTTTAAAAAAAAAAGTAAAGTTTATAAAAGTGCCTTTATATCTTTATATCTAGCAATTTGTAGAAATTAATGAATGTAGTGCAAGAAAGTAAATAATAGTTCCAGTTATAACCAGCAAGGCATTGTGAGGTGCAGTAATAGCAACCATACAATTTGAGGTGCCAGTGTTTTAAAGGAGACATATTATGCCCCTTTTTACAATATGTAATATAAGTCTCTGGTGTCCCCAGAATGTGTCTGTGAAGTTTCAGCTCAAAATCCACAGATCATTTATTATATCATTTTGAAAATGCTTATTTTGAGTGGAAGCAGAAACACGTGTGTATTTATATATACATAATTAATATACACAGCACACACACATATATATTACATAAACAAAAACTTTTATTATGGATGTGATTAATCGCGATTAATTATTTGACATCACTAAAAATAACTGCATTGAAACTTTTTTTTTTTTTTGTACCTGGTGCTTCTCCATTGACTGAACTCTTATTTTGGGTAGCACTGCTGTTGGTCCGCTGGGCCTCGTCTGTTACCACAGCACTGCCATCAGGGTTAGAGTAAAACAAGAGCAAGGGCTGGAAGTGACCTTTGATGCATTTAGTGACCACATCCTTCCATCTGGATCCCACCTTTAAAAAAAAAAAAAGTTCTTTAGCATACAGAGAGCAGTTACCTGAAGTGTTAGATTATTATTAGACGTGAAGGCTTGCATGCTTCGGAGGTAAGAGTACGCAGACTGTACTACAAAAGTCTCTCCAGGCAAACAGATGTAACCTTCCTTTTTAATTACCAGACACAAGAGAATGAAAGAGCGAGCAGTGCTTTCTAATAAAGAAACAATTATCTGATCAGTCAAAAAAGAGCAGGCAAGATTGTAAAGGAGATGAATTAAGACGTGCTTAATCAACAAAACAGCTGTTCTCTTGCATTGCGTACTGGATTGGCTCTCTCTATACTGTAGGTTTGCACACACGCGTCTACTGTAGTGCACATATTGTGTCTGCGAGGGTGATTTATCTTGGCAGTGGAGACATGCAGCACCAGCCCAGTGAGAGCTGAAGTGCTCACGCAAGCACAAGCCGCACACTACTGATAGATAGATCCACTACACTGCATCGCCACTTATTTCACATGTGCTGTCTGCCTATCAAAATCCTTTGATTAGTGGCATTGTAATTTTAGTATAATTGAGATTGTATTATAGTTTTTAATTCACATTTTGAATGATTTTATTTTTATATTTTTGTTTTCATTTTAAATTTTAGTTAAGTTTATGTAATTGTTGTCATTTTTTTTATATGTCTATGTATTAGTATTTGTGACCCTGGACCACAAAAGCAGTCTTAAGTCACTTGGGTATATTTTTAGCAACAGCCAAAAAAACATTGTATGGGTCAAAATTATCGATTTTTCTTTTATGCCAAAAATCATTAGGATATTAAGTAAAGATTATGTTCCATGAAGATATTTTGTAAATTTCCTACCGTAAATATATCAAAACTTCATTTTTGATTAGTAATATGCATTGCTAAGAACTTCATTTGGACAACTTTAAAGGCGATTTTCTCAGTATTTAGATTTTTTTGCACCCTCAGATTCCAGATTTTCAAATAGTTATATCTCGGCCAACTATTGCCCTATCCTAACAAACCATACATCAATGGAAAGATTATTTATTCAGCCTTCAGATGATGTATAAATCTCAATTTCAAAAAATTGACCCTTATGACTGGTTTTGTGCTCCAGGGTCACATATGATCTCACTGAAAGAGTGTTTCAGTTTCATGTTTTGAATTCCATTGTTCTACAGCTCTGTTTGGTTGTTGATTTGTATTTTTTCATGTTTTTAGCAGACTCGATAAGAAGACCAGCAGCAGTGGAGCAGCTCCGTCGTCTTTGATGTGAGTCTGTTTATGTGTGAACTCTGATCTTCAGTCCGAGGAAAGCTGGAGGCTGTAATATTATCTGTGTGTGTGTGTGTGTGAGTGTGTGTGTGTGTGTGTGTGTGTGTGTGTGTGTGAGTGTG